GTACCTGTCAGTGCATACAACTGTGCAGCCTGTCAGTGTACCTGTCATCAGCCTGTCATCAGAGTACCCATAAAAGCCACCATCACTGCAGCCCATCAGTAGTGTACCCATTACAGTTGCCTGACATACTGCCAACATGTCAAAAAAATATTATTCTAGTGAGGAGGCTTTCCAAATCCTAAGCATGACGGACGAGAGCAGCAGGGAGCTCTCACCGTCCGATTCCGATTTGGATTATGAGCCAAGAGAAAGCAGTGGATCGGTGACCGAATCGGAAGAGGAAGTAGTCCCTATTAAAAGAATAAGACGCTCTGAAGAACAGGCAACAACGAGCAGCGCCAACATACAAGTGCCATTACACACAAATGGTCAGTCAGAAAATGCCAACAGAGCTAGACCCCAGGATGACAGGCCCAGTACCAGCACTGAGATATCACGCCAGACCCCAAGAGTCAGGTCCCAAACTTGCCTCCCAAACTCTCTTGCAAACCCTTTGTGGCTGCTTTCCAACACAGGATCAGCTACAATCCACCCTTTCACCGCACAACCAGGAGTGCAGCTCAACACAGAAAATTTTTCCCCAATTGATTTTTTTAATGTATTTTTCCCTGATAGTTTCCTTCAGTCAATTGTCGATCAAACCAACCTATTTGCCCAACAATTTATTGCAGCCAACCCCAATTTGTGTTATGCCCGTCCATTCGAGTGGAGATGGCTATCACTAGATGAGCTTAGATTGTTTTTGGACCTTACGGTCAACATGGGGGCTTACAAAAAAAATGTATTACATTCATATTGGTCCACCCATCCCATCCATCACATTCCCATCTTTTCAGCTGTATTGTCCAGGTCACGTTATGACATGATAATGCGTTTCCTGCATTTTAATGATAATTCCCAGTGCCCTCCCCGAGATCAGCCAGGCTTTGACAAACTGTACAAAATTCGCCCCCTAATTATTTTTTTTTCTAGAATATTTTCTGAAGTTTATGTCCCTGACCAAAATATCTGTGTGGACGAATCTCTTATCCACTTTACTGGCCAGCTGGGAATCAAGCAATACATGCCCAATAAAAGGGCCAGCTATGGACTGAAGCTCAACAAACTGTGTGAAAGTGCCACGGGTTATGTGCATGCCTTTCGCATGTATGAAGGCAAAGACCCCCACCTGCAGCCCCCTGGGTGCCCAACCTACATTGGCATAAGTGGCAAAATTGTCTGGGACCTGGCCTTTCCACTCTTCCAAAAGGGGTATCACATCTACCTTGACAATTATTACACAAGCCTGCCCCTTTTCTGCCACCTGTACCTTGAAAAAACAATGGCCTGCGGTACTGTCCGATCAAACAGGAAGGGCTTCCCACAAAGTTTAATTAGAACGACTCTACAAAAGGGGAATCTGCAAGTGTTAGGAACGAGGAAGTGCTGGCCGTGAAATGGAGGGATAGGAGAGATGTTTATGTCCTGTCCACTATCCATAATGACATCATGGTGGACATTCATAGAAGACGAGGGGAAGTCCAAAAGCCAGAGTGTATCCACAATTATAATCAATTCATGGGGGGGGTGGATTTAAACGATCGCATGCTGCAGCCATACTTACCAACAAGGAAGACCCTCTACTGGTACAAAATAGTTGCAATATACTTTTTCCACATGGCCATTTATAATTCATACATAATTTATCAAAAATCAACTGAAAGACCTAACCACCTCTTCAAATACACTGAAGATGTCATCACTGCCCTAATCTATCAGCAAAGATCTCCACCACAAACCATTCGCTCCGATTGTATCAGCAGACTGCATGAACGCCATTTTCCTGAGAAAATTCCACCATCAGAAACAGGAAGTAGACGTCGAAAAACATGTAAGGTATGCAGCAGAAGGGGATTTAGGAAAGACACCAGTGTTCATTGTCCCCAAATGTCCCTCCCAACCAGGCCTATGCTTCAGAGACTGCTTCAGACATTATCACACTTTAATAAGATATTAGTTCCCCATATTTTCAGCAGCCTGCATTTCCCCATTTTTGTTATCTGTGCTGATCTTTTGCCTACTGCCTTAATTTACCATGCCTCTGCCTTCCACCTTAACTGACCCTGGCCTGTTTACCGACAATGCCTCTGCTTGCCGTCTGAATTGCTTCTACACCACATTTCTGCTTTCCACCAAAATTGACCATGGCTTGTTTATCGACTATGCTTCTGCCTGCCGTCTGGATTATCAACCACGTTTATGCCTTCTTCCTGGACTGACCTTGGCCTGTTAAATCGACAATGTTTTTTGCTTGCTGCTTGGATTGATCTTTTGCCCTGCTACTGCAGTAGTGGGATTCAAGATACCACAGGGGTCTCGCATATGTGAGGGGCTTCAGAATAGAGAAAAAACAGTTTTTGGTTTTCTCCGGGTTTTGTTAGTCCCGGAATAGGGTCTGTTTGTCTGGAGGCTTCGAAGAGATTTAGTGGGACGAAGCCTCTACCCCTGTGCCCCAGTCCTACCTGATCAAGGCCATAAGCCTGATGTTCCTGTCTGCTGCCTGGTCCAATACTTTGGCTGTGCTGACCATATCTCCTCTTCCTACCTGTACTGACCCAAAACGTTCGGACCATGTTCTTGCCTGCTGCCTGGACCAATACTTTGGCTGTGTTAATCATTTCTCTGCTTGCTGCCTGTACAGACATAGGACTTTTTATGGACCATGTTCCTGCCTGTTGTCTGGACCAATATTTTGGCTGTGCTGACCATATCTCCATTTGCTACCTGTACTGACCCAAGACTTTTTCAGACCATGTTCCTGCCTGCTGCCTGGACCAATACTTTGGCTGTGCTGACCATATCTCTGCCTGCTGCCTGGACTGACCTAAGACTTTTTATGGACCATGTTTCTTCCTTCTACCTGGATCTCAGCCTGCTGCCTGTTCTGACCCTGGCTTGTTTATCCACCATATTCCTGCCTGCTGCCTGGTCGAATCCTGTTGCTGTTGCCTACTTCCTGGTCCAATGCTCTCCTAAAACCATAGGTAATCTTTTGCTTATCCTTTCTTTAGCTGTGAAAAAGTTTCACATGTGGTATTGTCATGTTCAGAAGGAGTAGTAAAATGTATTTTCGAGTATAGAAGAAATATCCTATAAATTGACAACTTTGTGTAAAAAGAAAAATACTTTTTCATTTTTTTTCCACATTTTCTAAAAACTTGTGGGAAAAAAATAACATGTTCAAAAGACTCATTATGCCTTATAGAATATACCTTGGGATGTTTGCTTTCCAAAATGGGGTCATTTTGTGGGTATTTCTACCATCCTGGTGCTCTAGGGCCTTCAAAACTGTGATAGGGAGTCAGAAAATTAGATGTGTAATTTATGCCACTTCTATTCTCCTACAACGTGTGAAGGTACTACTTGGATGTTGGGTCTCTGTATGTGGTCAGGTTGTGGAAATGTCTCACACATGTGGTATCACAATACTCAGAAGTGTAGCAGAATGTGTTTTGGGGTGCAATTGCAAGTATGTCTATGCCAGGTGTGAGAAATAACTTGTTATTTTGGCAATTATGCGTGAAAAAAAAAAAATAATTTATTCATTTTCCAAAGAATTGTGGGAAAAAATTACAACTTCAAATAACTCACCATGTCTTTTACTAAATACTTTGGACTGTCTATTTTCCAGAAAGGGGTCTTTTGTGGGCTATTTGTACTTTCCTACCATGTTAGGGCCTCAAGAAATGAAATAGGCCATCAGTGCTTCATGTGTGATCAATTTGCAATGATTGGTGCCATAGCTTGCAGACTTTATAACTTTCACACAGACTAAATAATATACACCGATTTGTTTGTTTTTTTTTTTTACCAAAGTTATGTAGCAGTATAAATTTTTGCCTAAATTTATGAAGAAAAATTACTTATTTGCAAAATTTATAATAAAAACAAAGAAAATCTTATTTTTTTTCTAAATTTTTGGTATTTTTTTTTCGTTTATAGTGCAAAAAATAAAGAACTCAGGGGTGATTAATTACCACCAAAAGAAAGCTCTATTTGTGGGAAAAAAATGATTAAAATTTCATATGGGTACAATGTTGCATGACCGCGCAATATTCATTCAAAGTGCGACAGCACTAAAAGCTGAAAAATGGTCTGGGCAGGAAGCTGTAAAATTGCCCAGTATTGAAATGGTTAATTTAGCAAAAATAAAAACCCCAGCGGTGATTAAATACCACCAAAAGAAAGCTCTAGTTGTGTGAAGAAAATGACAAAATTTTAGTTTGGGTACAGTGTTGCATGACCATGCAATTGTCATTCAAAGTGTGAGAGCGCTGAAACCTGAAAATTGGTCTGGGCAGGAAGGGGGTAAAAGTGCCCGGTATTGAAGTGGTTAAGCAAGTATTTTACTGAATGAAATTGAGTTTGATTGTGATTAGCTCTGATTGATCCTGTGTGTACCATGTGATCCCTGTGACCAATCACAGTTCACAACACAATTGTACACAGTGAATGGGCCGCTATGGTCGTTTTTTACACCAAAAGGAGAGTCGCATGGTTATTTCAGGTGGGAGAAGGTTGAGGGGGTGGTTGTTTTATTGGTTAGGTGGAAAGTATTAGCCTTAATATTCTGCATGTCCCCCAGTCATGTACTTTCTGCCTCTGAGTCTCTCTCTCTGTGGACTACAGAACATCCCGCTCATGCCCATCCTAAGCTGACAATGCTGCTCCTCCATGGATACAGTCCAAACGATTTTAGTACTTACCGTATTTTTTCGCTCCATAAGACGCACTTTTTTCCCCCCCAAAAAAGGGGGGGAAATGTCAGTGCATCTTATGGAGCGAATGTAAAGCGGCCGGTCCGAAATTTCTGCCGCCACCATGTCAGAATATTGGGCCGGCCGCTCAGCTTTTCTCTCCTGCAGTACCTTACCTGTTCCGCGCTCCAGCGCTGCAGTCTTCCCGCGGCAGCTTCTGTGACACCGGGTGCCCACTGTGCATGCGTGAAAAACGCTGCGCTTTGTGAATGGTCCGGTGTCTTCTGGGACACATGACAGGTCGCGCATGCGCAGTGGGCACCCGGCTGTCACAGATGCCGCCGCGGGAAGAAGAAGGAAGGACAACTCCTTGGAAGTGGGGAGCGGGTAGCTGTCAAAAACAGGTACCCGTTCCGCCTCCCTCCCCAAAGGTCCGCAGTCTCTGGTCATCTCCTGTACTGTGTCCGCAGTCTCTGGTCATTCCCTGTACTGTGTCCGCAGTCTCTGGTCATTCCCTGTACTGTGTCCGCAGTCTCTGGTCATCTCCTGTACTATGTCCGCAGTCTCTGGTCATCTCCTGTACTGTGTCCGCAGTCTCTGGTCATCTCCTGTGCTATGTCCTCAGTATCTGGCCATCTCCTGTGCTATGTCCGCAGTCTCTGGCCATCTCCTGTACTATGTCCGCAGTCTCTGGTCATCTCCTGTACTGTGTCCGCAGTCTCTGGTCATCTCCTGTACTATGTCCGCAGCCTCTGGCCATCTCCTGTACTATGTCCGCAGTCTCTGGTAATCTCCTGTACTGTGTGCGCAGTCTCTGGTCATCTCCTGTACTGTGTCCGCAGTCTCTGGTCATCCCCTGTACTGTGTCCGCAGTCTCTGGTCATCCCCTGTACTGTGTCTGCAGTCTATGGTCATCCCCTGTACTGTGTCTGCAGTCCATTGGTTCAGAATATTTTTTTTTCTTGTTTTTCTCCTCTAAAACCTAGGTGCGTCTTATGGAGCGAAAAATACGGTAATTACTTCCCACCCAGGACAATTCTGGCATTTCTCTTCTACATGTAAAAATCATCATTTATTTGCTAGAAAATTACTGAGAACCCCCAAACATTCAGGGAGCGCGCACAAGCAGGGAGCGGTGAGGACATTTATAAACGACCACCTGCTCCCGCACTGCCCCCGTCCGGACGTTTATATACATGGGCCGGATGGGAAGTGGTTGAGCTATAAGCAATCATAATGTGCAAAAAAAAAAAATCCTGACTTCTCTAGAGTAGTATAATGTTACTATGGTAACATATTGCTCTGGTCACAGTGTGGTAAACAAAATGATAAAAAAAAAAACCCAAAAATTGTGAATATTTGTTTTTTAATTTCTTAATTAAAAAAAAAAAAAAAGTCACTATGCCTCTTACTAAATACCTTGGACTGTCTGCTTTCCAAAAAGCGGTCATTTGGGGGATATTTTATACTTTCTTGGCATTTTTGGGCCTCAAGAAATGAGACTGGCTGTCAGTATATCAAGACTGATTGATTTTCATATATGTGCGCTGTGCCGATTACCCTCCCTACCCACATCCTATTCACCCAGCTGCCTGGGCCCCCCCTGCTGGCCTGGGCCCCATACAGGAGGACTGGTGGTACCCCCTTATCCACAGCCCTGGGTACAGTGTAGCATGACCGCGAAATTGCCAGTTAAAGTAAGGCATTGGCAAACAGCACAAAATGGCCTGGTCTTGAAGGGGGTAGAATCTTCCGGTGGGCAAGTGGTTAATATGGATGGCGATTTAGGCTTGGTTCACACTAGTGCGGTGCGGCCCGCGTCTCCGCAGACACGGTGGCCCATTTATTTGAATGGGTTGCTGTGCCAGCGTTTCATGCAAGAAAAAGGTGCATGCAAAAACGCATCTGCAGGGAAACTGCACGGTCTTTTTGATCTTGTGGTTTCCCTGCAGTTCCCACCTGCGATCGTGTTCTGGGCTGAGATGCGCGGGGGTGCCATTCGGAAAGAATGGCAGAACCGTTCGTCTTGTAAGAGCAGAGAGATTCGGCTGTGGGTGGTTGCGGGTGAAGGAGCTGATGCGATTCCCGAACCCACAACCAGAACACACAGGGCGGGCTAGTGTGAACCTAGCCTTACAGGGGAGGGGGACATAGCAAGGAGGGTGGAGGGGGGGAGGTAACAATATTATACACTTAGAGGAGTGATTATGGGGGGGGCAGGGCTAAGAGGATATGCGTTGGGGGGGGATGCTTTGAGAGGGGATAGGACTTGTGCTAGAAGGTGGGGTGGGGGGATTTCAAATTCCAACCCCCCTCATTCTAGCACAAGTCCTCTCCCCTCATTTCTTCTTGATCCACGCACTGAGTACAAGTGTTTGTGATTGCTCTGCAAAGTGACTGCAGTTAGAAGAGATTTCTTTGATTGATTTGCATTTATCACCAGTTAAATCAGCGAGACGAATATCAAATCGATTTCTTTGATTGATTTCTGTTTGTCAACTATAATATCTGCGAGACAAAGATGGGAATGCTGCTGAGAGAAGGGGCGGACTGACCATTTGGAAACTCGGACACTGCCCGAGGGCCCGGGGTCAGTAGGGGGCCCCATGAGATGCCCCTGGTACCTTTTTCATAGGCTTTTTTGAGTTTGGGCAAGGACACAGGGGCCCCATAATCCCCTATTGCCCCATGAGTTGTCAGTCCACCCCTGGCTGAGAGCATTGATCTTTGTTATTGTTCTACATCTGGCAACAGGTACGTATTTATCTTACATTTTTACATATATATATATATATAATTTTTTTTTTTAAATGCACACACGCAGTGAGCTGCACCGGGATGGCAGTAAGACCCTGACAAGAGTTCTATTCCTATTCCCTTCTATTTCCAAAACTAAAAGGTTATTGGCTTACTTTAACCACTTCTCTCCTGGCCAACAGCCGAATGGCGGCCGGGAAAACGCTCTAGATCACAGCGGCGCGATCTGCCGATGACAGATCTGAGTACCGACCCCCATTGCGGGTACCATGTGACCTGCTGTGACCAATCACAGTAGGTCACATGACAGTTGTATACAATGGATGGCTTCATTCATGCCATCCATTGTATACTAGCCACTTGCCGCCCAGCCACTGTAGATATACGGTGGCAGGGTGGCACTCACAGGCAAAACCACGTTTTAAAACGTGTTTCTGCAAAACAGGTAGGGGGCGCACGCGAGGCGCGTGCATGCCCTACCTGTCCCGCGGGTGTCATCAGCGGGTCCCAGCCGCTGGGTCACGGCCAGTGATTACCGGCTTTTTGGCTCGTGACAAGCTGCAGAGGGTTTCTCTGCCTCGATCAGCTCCCCCCTTCCTCCCCCCCCTCCAGCACACACCCCCTCCACCTAGTAAAACACTCCCCTCACACAGTGAACACTAAAAATGTTAACCCCTTCCTCCCCATTGCCATTAGTACAGTTTCAGTGGGTTTTTTTTTTCACTGATCACTGTATTGGTGTCACTGGGGATGTCAGTGACCCCACGTCAGTTCCCCCCCAGTGTCAAAATGTCCGCCACAGTCCCGCAGTCCCGCCATAAGTCGCTGGTCGCCGTCATATGTCGCTGATCGCCGCAATATGTCGCTGATCGCCATCATTATTAGTATAAATAAAATAAAAAATCCCAGTATCTTTCCCGCCATTTGTAAACGCTATAACTTTCACGTAAACCAATTAATTAATACACGTATTGGATTTTTTTTTAGCAGAGACATGTCGCAGAATGCATTTTGGATGAAATTTGTGACAAAATTAGATTTTTAAATTTTTTTTACTGGACATGTTTTATAGCAAAAAGTCCAAAATATTGTTTTTTTGTCTCAAAAAATGTCAGCCTTTTTTTTATAGCGCAAAAAATTAAAACCGCACAGGCGATCAAATACCACCGAAAGAAAGCTCAATTTGTGGAAAAAAAAGGATGTAAATTTAATTTGGGTGCAGTGTTGCATGACCGCGCAATTGTCAGTTAAAGTAACGCAGCGCCATAACACAAACCTCTTATGTAACCGCTTCCTTACCACCCTACAGCAGAAATACTGCTACAGGGCGGCACGGGTACGCAAAATCACATATATATATATACGTAATTCGCGCTCCTGTGGTTTTCACACCCCTCCCAGATAGCGTCAGATTGCCCGACAGTACACCAGTCATCACATTTAACCCCTTGATTGCCAGGAGCATGCCCATGTACAATAAACCTCCATTGCTAGTATAGTGTCTGAACGGGTCAATATCTTTGATCAGGTCAGCACTATACCAGCGTTCACATTAGTATAGTGTCCCCAAAAACGCAGCGTTAGCGGGATCAGCCCCTGCACCTGCCAACACCTGCGTTAAGCCCCTACGCTTACCCCCCCCTCTCCCCCCAGCAAGTGCAGTGTCAGTAGATCACTGTCACTTGATACATTGCACACAAAACCGCAGTGTTCGCAGAATCAGGCCTGATCTCTGTTAGCACTTGTCGGTAAATTTTGATGACTCTCATATGCAGCAGAGTGCCAGTACTAGTGCCGCTCTACCTTTTGGTGAACTGGCGAGTACCAGCGGTCTAGTACATCTTGGTCTTTCACATACCTCCTTGATTTTTGGAGCTGTTTTTCACGGAATATCTGTATGCGTTGATTGTGGATCAAAGCAGTCTATATGCACAACAATTTATCGCCGCCAACCCAAATTCAAACCTTGCCAGACCATTCGCATGGAAACTCATTACGGTTTTCAAATTTAAATTTTTTTTGGGCCTAACCCTCAACATGGGCATTACTAAAAGAAATGAAATGCGGTTGTATTGGTCCGCAGACCCAAATAATCATATGCCGTGTTCTCTGCTGCCATGGCCAGACATAGATATGAGAGTATAATGTGTTTTATACATTTCAGCGACAAAACACTCTGTCATCCTCGGGGTAACCCTTAATTTGACGGCTCCACAAAATTCAGCCCCTCGCAAATCACCTTAACCTAAAGTTTGCAGATGTCTATACTCCCCAGCAAAACATCTGCGTTGATGAGTCCCTTATTAATTTTTCTGGCCACCTTGCATTCAAACAATTTCTCTCCAGCAAGCGTGCCAGATATGGGGTCAAGATGTAGAAGACCTGTGAGAGGACAACAAGCTATACTTATAAGTTTTGGATTTATGAGGGAAAAGATAGTCACATGGAGCCCCCCCGGATGCTCAGAGTACATGGGGAGCAGTTTGGGACTTGGTGTCATCATTTCTCCATACGGGGTACCACTTATACGTGGACAATTTTTATTCAAGTGTGCCACTATTTAGACATTTATTCAATCTTGGAACTGGCACTTGTGGCAAAGTGTGACCTAATGTGTGCCCACCATTAGAAGTGGGTGGATGCAGGGCGGTATATTCTAAAGGGCATACCACACACTTTTTCTGGCAGATATTTCTTCTCATTTTTTCATTCAGTCCACTGGCTGCATACAAAAAAAAAAAAGAACATAGCATATATACCCAACGAGGACCAGCGACGTACTTTTACATCACTGGATTTGAATGGTTATACCAGGATGATGCCTACAGCTGCAGGCATCATCCTGGTATCGTTTTTTTTCAGCCGGTGATCGGCTTTCATGTAAAAGCAATCCTAGTGGCTAATTAGCTGCAAGATTGCGTTTACAAGCAGTGGGAGATGATGTCCCCCCTCCCTCGCTGCCTTCCACGGCCTTCTCGGGCAGTTTCATGCCATCGGGGGAACCTGAGAATGCAGCCGGTGTTTCTGCCAGCTGACCATAGAGCTGATTGGACACCAGAATGATGCCAATCATCTCTATAGTCTAAGAATTCGGAAGCTACAAGCATTTCATCACTTCAGTTTCGCAGGATATAAACAGCGCCATTTGTGAATTGGGAAAGCATCTGATCACACCGATTTGGTTTGATTAGATAATGTAAGAGCAGAGGAGATATCTAGAGTCTGATAG